TACATTTTACATCATTATCGGTTTAAACATTGCATTTCATCACTTATAACGCGTATACTTATTTAGTTTTCTGTCTACTGTACAAACACACGTATCAACTAGAACTTCGCATTAATGTTTAAAATGTTTTGCGTCATTTCAAAATCATAAATTATTTTTTTATTTTTTTTTTTTATTTTATAATATTTTATTATCTTTTTTAATAATACGTAATAATAATTTTCAATTTCAAATTCCAATTTATTTTTTATTATAAAATTTGATTTGCGGATTATCCGCGGAATTCGTTTATCCGTGGATGTCCTGCCACCCTATTCCGCGGATAATCGAGAGTACACTGTATTAGGCTTAACCATAAATTTTATTTTAATGATTAAATAGTGCATGTTAAAAAACAGCCACATCCTCTTCCCATGACAAAAAAAATTTGACCACCACTGTTCTAATATTCTATATAAGTATATTTAGGCGGGCTATGACGAAATACTACAGCAACTTAAGGTTATAAGTGCTGTGGTATATTATTAGTAAATACATTTATGGGTATACGCATTTTATAAACGCGATTTAGCTTTAAAAAAATGTTTGTTGCTTCGCTCAATATTTATCTCTAAACATTCATTTAACCCTCTATAGTTTAATAGTTTATACTATAAGGTGGTACAATTAATTATCAAACAATTACTAATTATTGTTAGAATAGTATTTTAGATAGTCTATGGTAAACTATTTTACGTCCCACAAAATACTACAATAACCGCGTCTAACCGAACGCGGTGGCGCTGTCGTCCACGGCTAAACTCCGGTGTACCTAACCGTCTTTTATTGGGTGTACAGTGTACCCATAGATCATAGATAATCTATAGGTATAGTACATAGATAGACCAAGTAAATATTATGTAAGCATCCATCGGTCATAACATAGACCTTGATACGGGCGTAAACCCTGCGCATCAACTATTTTTCAAAAGGTATATGCTGTGGATGAAAAACTCATGATGGGGGTTACACTGCATACCCCAGTATACCCTCCAATAGATACATCACTGGTTGTAAAATATTATTAATTTTTGTTTAGATTAATATCGTATACTGGTTAATGATAGATACCTACATATTTTCTAAGACGTTATTAAAAAAAAATATAGAGTTATATTTAATGAATTACATATTATTATTTTTTAATTCGCAGCAAAATATGATGTATTTTTTCTTAAGATTAATTGATGTCTCCCGCACCTTTATTTAAACTAGTATGTATATTTATAAAATAAAATAAATAATGAAGAAGTAGCTTTTAATTTTAATTATGTAATTGTTATTTTTAGAGTTTCTACTTTCTATGCTGTAGATAAAAAGTTGAAAAACCAAAAGGGCTCGTCAGACCTTCACTCTAATTAATTGTTGTTGTTATGGGAATGGTAAGTAACTTATTTTTTATTCTATTATTTGTCAGTTCAAGATTACTATAGCTCAACGAATAATATAAAAGTATATCAAAATATTGTTCGGCAATTATATACAGTCGTTAAGCTGTATACTTATTACATAGCTAAGCGGAAATAGCAAAATAAAAATATAATAACATATTAATCATTGTTATGAAATACATAAATAGTTTAGCTGATGGTTACTGATAATGATTATGAGAAATTTACTATGTTTTATTTATGAGAACGATGAACAGAAAAAATGGAAGATTTAGTTAAGTTATTATTTCAATCAGGAAACTAGATATTGGATCGGAAATATTTATTTTTAATTGAACTCTTATGTTGCCGTGTTAGCATACCATGGCCCCACAGTGATGACTGGACGAGTTCGAGACTCTTGTGTTTGAGATGATCCTGATTTGGTTGGATTTTTTTTTCTCTGATTCGATCAATTTTTTACATACTGGTCATCATTTATCGATGGCAATATAGACACTATGGTCTCCAGAATAAATTGCACATTTATTAGAGTTATGTGCTTTTAGACCGTTAGAACAATCATCCAATCTTTAGTAAAATTACCTTCGCCACATTTCACACACCTGAGCGATTAACTAAACTATCCACTACCCAGTAATTGAAAAAAGTTGAAAAAAGTAACCATAAACTTGACAAATATATCATTGTGGACTGAAGTGGACCCTTACTTTTAATGTCTGGCTTTCGAGCAAGGTAGAGATAGGTAAATACATTTCTTGGTAATTTTCATTAAATGCGAGTTCGACGTAAAACAATGGTAGTGAACATTGGTTTTTTTTTTATTCACCATGCGCTAACCGAATGACTTAACCCAACTCGACCAAAGCATCTGAGATGTTGGTTAAGATTGTAGAATTAAAGTACCTAGTAGGTAGTTTATAGACGAGTCCTGTACCTAAAGTTACATATTATGATGCGTAATAACATAGTACCGAAATTACTATCTATAGTACCTAATTATTAAAATTATCAAGACATTAGGTAACGATACAAATTCGTGATAAACATAATATTATGTGCACTCACAATGGTATATATTAGAATCCGCACTCAAATTTATTATATATTTTATATTATTTATAATTTTTATATGTCGCATTCATATAACACTATTTATTAAAAAATAAATTATTTACAATCAGTATTTAGTAGGTAATCCGAGTCCTACTAAGAATTAAAAACATATTTTGGTACTAGACAAATTAAAAAATTAATTTAATGGTTAAAACCTATTTTAACAGTAACTATTACCTACGCAAATGTATTTTATTAAATTCAAGGTAATAAGTATAGTTTTAGTAATTTTAATACTTATATAAAAACAAAACATGGCTAGAAATTGTTTCGCGGTTTGCGTTCATAGTCTCTCCTGTATTCTGATACAGGAGGAAGCCAATCAGCAGAAACACTATATTGAGGTAATATGTGTACCTAGCTATATGAGCCTACATGAAGCTCGTGTATGATGCCGCAGCATAGGCAGCTTGATATCTGAAAAAAATAAAAATTATAATTGATGATAACTTGTAATATCATAATATTATCGTGAATAACATTACTATATCTAAACGTTTATCATATTATAGGCTTAAGGCTATACAAACCTAATTTTGTCATACATTCGCATATCACAACTGGTCTCCCTTATTCTCTTTCTCTGAATGCAACGACTATGATAACTATTATCATATCTGTCACAACTGGTTTTAGAGTCTCGACTTGATGAAAAATATATGACAACAATTTATTATTAATTAATGAAAATCAATTAACCTTCTACTGGGTATCATTTCGAGTATCGAACCATAGGTAAGGAGTTCTACGTGAACGGCCTCGATGGAAAAATACACCATTATCACATTGTACCTTAACCGTACACGATTTGTGCAATATTGCAGGTCACCCATTGATAATGTTTTGTAATGTACCTCATCATGTTACGATAAATTCACATTCACGAGGTAAAATAAGATCTGGATACATTTCTTTAAATTTTAAAACACAATTTGGTGTTTTTAATAGTCACTATTAATTGATTAAACGTGGAATAATTACATCTTATTATTTCTGAAATGTGATAAAAGTCATCTTCTAAACGACTAAACATATCAAATGAATCAGTTTAATCAGTTTAATTAATAAAATAATAACTGACAAAAATAAGACTAGTTAGATACCTACTAGGTAACATATATTGTTTTTAGTTGGAAAATTAAAAAATATTTTTAAAATCAGGAACAAATAAATTTAATATAATAAGACCTTAAGAAGTAACCTAACCTAATTCAAAAACTATGAATGCTTCACATCAATTAATATAGTTACTAAAAGGTAGGTAGTTGGATAGGAGAAAAAGTACCATATAAATATTACATTTATTACATGACAGAGGACAATGAACTCGATAGGCAAATAACGAGATATATAAGCTAAAGGATAAAATTTGACATTAACTATATTATTCAAAAAGATCAAAGTGAATAGTGAACGTAGGAGTGCTTCTTACCCTATACATTCTGAGTGGCTAAAACGATCTTATGAATTTTAAGGTTAGTTCAAAGAGTAAAAATGGAGAGAACAAAAAAAATAAAGGTTGAAATACAATAAAAATTATAAAAACCATAACGAAATGAACTATAGTACCAAATTATTACGATCATCGAAACGTTAACAATACAAATGTGTGGTAAACATAGTATGTACATTTACTATGGTATATAGTAGAATCAGCACTCAAATTTATTAGGTATTTTATATTATTTATATAACACTATTTACTATTATTACTTATTTAATAGTTAAATGATTAAAATTATTTAAATAAAACAAGATTTAAATCAAAATATAATTTTTATTCTATCGACATTTTTTCTAGGAAACATCAATATATAATTTATGTATATATGATACAATGTAATATCTATTTTATAGAAAAAAAATGACATAATATAAATAAAATTTAAACCTCTCAAGTTAATTTAGCAATTATTGAAACTCAGATAATTTAGAAATAAAAAAATAAGGAATCACTTTTCTGTAAAATATTGTTTTAAAACATGTACTTTTAAATCTATGATACACTGTTTAGAATAGAAACAAATGCAACCACATCATCTGTTTGCATGAATTTTTTTAGAATATTTTAAATAAGAGAAATATGGTCTCTATAGATTTTAGTTTTTATTTCTTGATTAAAATGTTACTAATTGAATATAAAATATAAAATATATTATATTATATATTCCCAGTGCAATTATTGTCACAAATTCTACTATTAACTAATATTTTACATTTTATTAAAAATGATTTAATTTTTAAAAATTAAAATTAAAATAACCATAATATATGAATTAAATATCAACATGAATATTTTGTTTATTATCACATAGTTATTATAATATTATCATTAAGTTCTACACACAAAAACAAATAATAATAATAAAGATATAGGAGGGAAATGTAAATATAAAAATTACAATTTTTTTTTTTTTACATGGAAACGACGATAACCACTTACTAAAATAAACAACAATATCTTACATTTTTTATGTGTACAAAAATACAGCATAGAAGAGAAATTCTAAGAAAATATACATATTAAAAATAAACATTCAAGAAACGGTCAAATCTATTTACACAATATTACAGTAGATTTTACTAAAAATATTTAAATAATGTTATGTATAAAAATAAAGTATTTACAATCAGTGTTCAGTAATCCAGTCCTACTAAGAATTAATAACATATTTTGGTACAAGACAAATTAAAAAATTAATTTAATGGTAAAAACACATTTTAACAGTAACTATTACACAAATGTATTTTATCAAATTCAAGGTAATAAGTATAGTTTTGATAATCTTAATACTTATATAAAAACAAAACATGGCTAGGAATTGTTTCGAGGTCTGCGTTCATAGTCTCTCCTGTACTCTGATACAGGAGGATGCCAATCAGCAGAAACATTATATTGAGGTAAGCTCATGTATGCTGCTGAACCTGAGCGGCTATACAATTCGGGAACATAAAAACTAGCTGCAGCTTGTCCATATGCCGCATAGGCGGCTTGCTGTTGATATCTACAGAAAACAAAAATTATAATTGATGATAACTTGTAATATCATAATATAGATAATACATATTATAGGTTATACAAACCTAATTTTGTCATACATTCGCATATCAGAATCAATCTCCCTTTCTCTTTCCCTAAATGCAGGACGACTACGATAACTATTATCATACCTGTCACGCCTGGTGCTAGAGTCTCGACTTGATGAAAACCTTAACAGTAAAATATATAATAATACGTAAATAATGTATGACATTTTACTATTAATTAATGAAAATCAATTAACCTTCTATTATCGTTTCTATTATCATTTCTAGTATCATTTCGAGTATCACTTCGATTATCACTCCTAGAATAGGGTGTACTTCTATTTCTATGATGATTGTAATTTGTATCATATCGATTACTACTTTGATCGTATGACCTTATAGCATTGGAGGAATTACTAGAACTTGGAGGCGTAGTTGGGATGGAATTTGAAGTGGTTAATAAACCAGAATTACTATTTGAATTTTTTTGTTTTTTGTTTGTTTTTTCTAAATCTTCTTTGTCACGTGATTTTCGTTTTAATGGTGTTAATGAATCTTCAGATTCCATATATTAAATTAAAATTTAAATAATTTTATTTAACAATAATTTTTAATTTAATCTTCTAAAAAAATTATTGATAATTATTGTTGTAACTAAACAATTTATACTAAAAACTTACATTTTTTTGGAGTTTTTTATCTTCTTTAGATTTATCTCTAATTTTATCTTTGTTTTTATTTCTATCTTTTACTTTATTATCTTTTTCAAGCTTTTCAGTTGTATGTAACCCTCGTCGATAAATTTTTAACAGTTTTTTAGAATCAAATTCGGTAAACTTTGAGACAAAAAACCACAAATTGCTGTAAAAATTTTATAATAAGCATTTAATATAATTCCAAACTATTAATAATTAATAAAATAAATATACTAAACCTTCTCCATTCTCTTATTTTATCTGGATCCTTATACTCTTCTAAACATTTACCAATGTGTGAACCTATTTCTATAAGACATTCTTGCATATGATTAACATAACGTAATTCATTTTTTTTTTCTTCTGGATCATCTAAAGCTTTTAATACTTTCTTTACTGGCCTCATTTTTTCTTTGCACTGTAAAAAAATAGGTATATCATAATAGTTTAATAAATATTAATTTTTTGTATACTGATGCAATATTATTTACAGACACAGAAACAAATAAATGTTTTTGGAAAGGAGAAAAAAGATAATTCATATTATATGTAAAAATGTTCTTTACAGTATAATATTTTAATGACTTAATTTGACAATTTTTAACTACAAAAATTTTTTTTCTATTTTTAAAAAATAGCTAAAATTATCTAAAAATAACTCAGTCAAAATAATTTCAAAAATGTTATCATGTTTAGAAACAATGTATAATATACTTATTACAATGGTCAATGTCAATGACCCTCTCAACACCTACTATACAGCAGAACAATATCTACTTTCTGTTTACCTTTTTGTGCTTTTAAATGATTATAAAAATATATTGTTTTTTTGATACTTTCTTTATTAAGTAAATGAAAAACTATTGTATTTATTTTTTTTTTATTTATAACTAGCAATACATTTTTCATATGTCTATAAAAAACTCAGAAACTTGTTAAAATACTTGGAATTTTTTTACTTTTAACCCTCCAAAGTACCAATTTGTTTCAATTTACTACAAGGAACTACCTCCCAAGCTAACAATCAAAGAATTTTTACAGCCCCAAACAGAAATTGCTGACAAAAAAAAAAAAAAACATCAGTGTAAAATCAATAAATTCATTCTCTTGAAATCTAATACAAATAATAAAAAAACAAACTCACCTCTAAAAATTTTTCTTTTGGCAACTCAACAATATCGTCTACATTTACAGCCTTGGGTTCACTATTAGCAGTGAAATGCATTGGACCCGTTTTAGTGGCTACTTTACGTTTTTTTTCTTTTTTTGGTGAACCAGTCAATCCAGATTTTGCATTAATTAAATCTTTTTTTGATTTTAATTTTTCATCATGATTAATAGCATTATCAATTTTTTTTTTATTACCATTTTCATTATCAGTACTATCGTCATCAATTATTTCTCTTGATTTTCCTTCTTTTACTTTACGCGTTTTCTTAGGTTTCGGTTCACCCTTAGCTATTACTACTTGAGTTTTTTTCAACATCTTCAGTAGATATTCAGAACGTGCTAATAAGTTTTTAGCTTGCGGTTTCTTATCTTCATTGGATAATATTTTGTCACTGAGGCCTAATGCAGTATCAATTTTAATTGCTTCCCATGAACCTAAGCCATAAAGATAAATCCCTATTAATAGTTTAGAATCATCAGTAATATCCCAATCAAAATCGAAATTAGCTGATTTAACACGTTTCAAATCCAAAGTGAACTTTGATCTTTCTTCTTCATCTGATGGAATTATATCATCCAAAATATCCAATTCTTCACTACAAGCTAGCACACTTTTAGCATTTACTGCCACACCACCGAGTTTTATTGAAGGTCCTCTATTTCTTTTTTTAACTCCATCGTCATTAGTAGCATCAGATTCTTTTTCTGCATGCTCACTATTACATGCTTCATTACAACGGTCATATAACATTTGAACTAATTTTTTTAATTCTGATTTAGGTTTCTCTTGAAGATCTGCATCACCAGCTACAGCATCAATACGTTTTATAGGGTTAGGAAAACGTTTACAACTTTTAATCAATTTTCGGATCTGAAAAAATGTAAAATAAATAGCAAATTTATTTAAAGAAAAACATAATAAATAATAAAAATATCACAATATTTTACATACTTCTGCATCAGTGAAACCTTTAACTACTTCTTTAGTTCCAACCCGAGGTCTTCCACGTTTTCTTGGTTGATCTTCATCACTGCCATCATAGCTAGAATCATCAGACTCTTCTTTCTTGGATTTTTCACTTTTTCCTTCTCCTTGATTTACTTTTTGTAAGGTTTTTCTACTTCTGGGAGGTAAATAAAGATCTTCCATTTCCTTAGCCTTTTCTTCATCTTCGACTTTTTTTCTTAATGTTTCAGGTATTATTTCTTCCTAAAACAGTCAAAACAAAAATTAACTTAAATTATAATCTTTATTTAATTTATATACCCATTCTTTATTTTCTTGTTCATTTTGAGCACTAGGTGATTTGTCAGCAATATCTTTTTCTTCATCAAAAGTAAAACTAGCTACTTTAAATGCTGATAGAAGTTCATCGCCAACAGTTGTCGGTGCTTCATCTCGTGTTTCAGCTCTTCTCAAAATTTCATCAATATCACACTAAAAAAATTAAATAAACAAGTATTTATTTCATTTGTCAACTCAACATATTTATAGTTTATTTTAAATTTTTATTTATATCTTACTAAAGGTTCTTCATCAGCACCGGGATCATCTTTAAATAATTCTTCTGCGCCAAATTTTAGTATTGCTGTAAGCTCATCTTTATTAAAAGGAATTGATGCATTTTTAGCTTTTTTGTCTAAAACAGTACGACCAGTAGTATCCATTCTTTGAATAACCAAATGATCCAAAACCATTTTTTGCTTTGCCCTTTCTACAATATCTTCTTCAACTGATCCTTTTGTAACCAACCGATAAATGTTAACTTGATTCTTCTGTCCAATTCTATGAGCACGTGCTTGGGCTTGTAAATCATTTTGAGGATTCCAGTCTGAATCAAATATAATAACTGTATCTGCAGTAGCTAAATTAATACCAAGTCCACCGGCTCGAGTTGACAATAGAAAACAAAAATCTTGAGATCCCTCTGCATTAAAATGTTCTAAAGCTTGTCTTCTAATATCCCCTTTAATGCTCCCATCGAGTCTTTGAAATGGTAAATGTCGGTAACTTAGATATTCGGCAAGAATATCTAACATACGAACCATCTGAGAGAAAATCAATACTCTGTGGCCAGTTTCTTTCAGACGTACTAATAACTTATCAAGTAGCATAAGTTTTCCAGATCCTCGTAATAAACTCTAAAAAGAAATGCAAATATTTGAGCCTCATTTCAAATTTTTAATAAGTAAATTATAATTACCTGAAGATTGTCATCAGCTGTGCTTTCATTCTCTTGTGGTTTAGTCAAAAGAGCATGATTACAGCACTTTTTTAATTCTATCATAATATTTAAGAATGTTGTTGACGATCCCTTAGATCCTTTTCTTAAAGCATTATAATTTTTAGTCAAAATCCATTTGTAATATTTCTTTTGTACTGGAGTCATTTCTACCCTTAATATTTGTTCAACCTATTAAGAAAAAAATAATAAATTTAATAAGATATATCTTTAATTATTATAAAAATGTATGATATTTTAAGTACAAATAGTCAATAATTATTGTATATAGAAAAACCAAAATATTTTTTAATTATTACTTTTGCAGGTAATGACTTTTCTACATCTTTTTTAACACGACGTAAAATATATGGTTCAAGTTGTCTATGAAGTTTTGTATAACCTTTACTAGCTGCATTATCATGTGTGTGTTCAAACTCTTCCCAGTTATCAAATCTATTTAACAAATGAATGTATTAAACATACAAAAATAAAATAAAATAAAAAAATGATTTACTTTTCAGGCATAATGAAGTGTAACAATGCCCACAGTTCTTTTAAACTATTTTGCAAAGGAGTTCCTGTTATAAGTAACCTCTGATTAGTGTCAAAACTTTGAAGAGCTTTGTACAAAAGAGAATCATCATTTTTTAAACGATGTGCTTCATCAACCATTAAAACAGCCCAACTAAGACTATTTAAAAGTGAACTATCTTTCAGAACGATTTCATATGTAGTAAGAATAGCATTAAATTTTAATCTTTTAGAACTCTCAAAACACCATTCTGTTTCGCGAATCTGTAAAAAATTTAATTAAGTTATACATAATATGTAAGATAGATAAATAGCACAAATGTGTGGGTAAAAATTTAAATAATTGAATATCAATTTTTTTTTTTTAACAATGTTTATATAATATTCTTATACTGATTTGCATCAACAATAACTTAACATTGAATGAATTAATAATGATCTAATAGTCTCAAAAACATGATTTAGTAGCCACTGATTGGTCCATTACATTTAACTGAACAATAAATTAATCAATTTTTCATGCAAACCAATACTAATATTGATAATAAATTACTAAATTACTCACTATGTTACGAGATTCAACATCTCCAATATATGTTACAATATTTATATCAGGAGCCCATAAACTGAACTCTCGTTGCCATGAAGGCATAGTTGATAAAGGAACAACAACTAGAAATGGACCATGCATTTGATAGTTGTGAAATAAATAATAAAGAAAACATATGGTTTGAATAGTTTTTCCAAGACCCATTTCATCAGCAAGTATTACAGAATTGTCTTTACACCAAGAATGGATAAGCCAATTCACACCATGTAATTGGTAATCTCGAAGTATCAGTTTCTAAACAATAATTAGTTTACAAATCATTAAAACACAAATGTTGAATTTGATATTTTTTTAATTAATACACAAACCTCATCATAACCACCAAAATACTCGGGCTCTTCCGCTAGTTGAACAAATTTTGGACGATATTTTAAAGCTCTACATGCTTTAGACGGTGTTCTTTTTGAGCCTTCACGATCTCTGAATTCTTTTATTTTATGAGGCCACTTACGTTCTATTAATGAAGCTACTTCCCATGTTGCATCACTATAAGGCAAAGATTGCCATTTTACATAATATTCTTTTTGTGCTGGATTTTTAGATTCTCCTATAAATGCATTAATGGTATAAGAAATAAAAAAAATAAAACCTTTCTTTTGAAGTATACTCAGAAAATACTAACTTACACTCTTAAATTAAAATCATGTTTGTTAACAAAAAATGTAAATTTTAATAACTTAAAATTTGCCAAAAAGTTTCTTAATATATCAATACTTAATAAATATCCTTAAAAGCTCCCTAATGTCATATAAGTTATTATATCTGTAATATACTTTGTATAGTGACAAAATTAATACCTATTATTCTTTCAACAATATTGTAGCTTTTTAATAAATCTTGTTGAAGTTCAAGCTGACATTCATAATATTCAGAATCTTCAGGTGTCATTTGATTACGCCATGCACCAATAGAGTCTTCACGTTTCACAAAATTATCAATCTTCTTAAGTCCCTTAACTTTTTGGGCCAAAAGTGAATTCATAGACTCCCAAGTATTATGAATATGTGACCAATTCTTCCATTTGATCAGAAACTGAGTCTCTTTTTCACTGGGATCACATTCAATATTAGGATCTCCTTTCTCCTCAACTGCATAAATAGTTGTTATATTTCCTACAACACCTATTTTGCCTTGCCTTCGAGCCAAAACTTTTTCAATTGTTTCAGAAGTATCAAGTGGTTCTTCTTTTTCTTCAACCTCCTCTCTTTCCAAGTAATCATCACTATCACTTTTTTCACTTTCTTCTTTATAACTAACTGCCTGTGGTCTTCGACGGGCATTTCTTTAAAAATAAAATATATTTCAATTTAAAATCTCAATAAAAACTTAATATTCATTACCAACCTAGATTTACTAACATCTTCATCATCACTGTTAGCACTAAAACTATTATCTTTTCTTTTATTAAAACGTGCATTTGGTTTGGTTGTAGGACGTCTTGCAGGTTGTTTTTGACGTCGTATAGCAGCTAATGATTTACTACGAGGTATTTCTTCTTTATCAGTTTCAGAATCATAATCTGAACTATCACTTTTCCACTTTCTAGTTGTAAAAAAATTGTGCTTAGAAATTTTAAATGTTAATTAAATTTAAAAAAATTAATACTTTATAGTTCAAAATAACTTCATAATCAAAAATCTTACGTATTTTTTGTGACTCGAGAACTGTAGTCACTTGATTCGTCGCTTTCACTAAGTTTTGATGATGGTTTAATCACACGTTTGGGTCGCTCAGAAGGACTGTATTCATCAGTTGATTGTTCAGAACTGTTAGCTTCTTGAGACACTTTTACACTAAGTTCAGATTGGCTAATAAAAATTGCAACACAAATAAACGGTTAAATTTTTGAATAACTTTTTTTTTTTAAACATATTTTAAGTAAATTTATGATTTTTTTGAAAAAAAAATATTATAATTATTCATTTACAATAAGCTACTATAGCTGTCTTTAGCTTCAGGAAATATATAGTACCAAAAACATAAGTTAAATTATATAAGTTACCATCAAATTTCAAATATTACTGTATCGATAAATAAATTCTTAAATTACTCAAAAAACATAAAAATAAACAATCAAGATATACTTTTTATTTTTAATACCCAGTTTTTTTTTTTTTTGGTTAATTAAATCATATCCAGCTGATGTTGATTTTACCTACTTAACTCTTAAACTGCAGTACATTCATATTTTATGGTATATATCAGTGACGATTTTAATATATACTTTTAAATAAGGTGACAAAATGTGAAATTCACTATTGTTTTAACACACATATAATATTCAAGTTAGTAAATTAATTAATTAAAATGGTACAATAAAGCAAACTAATACTTCAATTTTTGAAAAAAAAAATTAAAACAATGCCTAATCTTTATAAAAATCATAGTGTACATTTACCAATCACACTATTTTCAATTATTTTGTATATAATTTAAGAAAATTAATAGACTTATACATAAAAAAAAATAGTATGTAACAGTTAAATTGGAAAGTAATATTAGATTATTTATTCAAATGGATATATCCTATAAATTAATTTAATTCTAATAATCTAAATAAAATATCTCGCTTTATTTAGGAAATTTCAAATAATAATGATAATTTAAGATTATAATATAAGAAAATCATAATAATTGATTTTGAATCAAAAACTAAATCCCAATGACCTATTATTTTATATATCGTTACCTTAGTGACAATACCTCGTATCTACATTTTTGATATTTTTCAGGAGAGACTTAAAACTGATTACTATTATTCCACAAGATATCTATTCTTGCAGGTTATGTTTAAAGCTTTTTTTTTATGTTTTCCTCAAAAATAATTATTAAAAATCAACAAAAAAGTGATAAATACTATATTTAGAATAGATACGTGATATTACTTTAAAAACTTGTTGGAGATACGTGGTATTACTAATAATAATAAAGCTCAATTCTCAAACTAAGAATAAATACAATAAAATTCAATATTGTTCATTTTATAATTTATTTAAACTAAAAAAATGCAAAAGATAAAAAGAAACAATTTAACAAAACTACTTTTATACCTTACTTTGGTAAAAACATTTCTTGTGTCACTACAAAATTAAAAAACATAAAATAACATCATACTTAACATCAATATCAGACTTTGAAAAAGAATAAAATAAACTCATATTGCATTGAAATCATCCTTGAGATCAATATTTAAAAATATATAACAAAATTTAGTAACATCTTGAAATACAACATTTCCTTTTCTCTGATACCCTATATAATCATCACCATTCATTCTCAATTTCTGGCTGGTTTTTCTCTTCCACATATCAGGTTTAGGTTTTATACTTCGGATATTTTTGCTTTTTATATTATGTTGTTCTACTACCTGATTTTCAATATTATCGGTGTTGTTATTTTCCCGAGTACAAATTTCCATAGTAGAATTATTAATTTCAAATGGAAGTGTAATAGCATCAACATTATAATATTCTAATTCATTTTCAGCCAAAATTACTACATTATTTATGTTTTCATTTTCTTCAGTCACAAAATTTTGATCAGCTTGATCACAGTTAACTTTAATAGCATTATCATCAATTGGAAAGGCTAAAACCTCATTGTCAATAGATATATCTGAATTTATGATAGTATCAATATTTCCATCAGAATAGAAATGTTCATCGAAGACTATTGTAGAAGAGGATATAATATCTGCAAAGCTTTGGATGTTCTGTCCAGGGTCCCCACTATAGTTAGAATTATTATTGTTATTTGCACATGACAAATCTAGAATTTTTTGTAACCTTCGCTTCGCCATATCTTTCAAAAAATAATACAATAAATTACAACAGTATTTATTTTCAAAAATCCTAATTGGTTAGATAATTAATAAAAAAAAATTAAGTATTAATATTGTACAAAATTATTATTTTTATTACAGTTACAATTCCACGTAACTACAATAAAAATATATAATTTTAAGTTTTATACATTTGCAATAGCACGTATATGACAAGTCAAAATAAAATGCATAATATTCACTATACAAAGTATGGAAATAAAAAAACAATACTTATTATGGTAAAGTAGTGCATAATTAAATGATTTATACATAAATTGTGTAATTACCTGTTCTTAAATAAGCTGTATTCTGTTGATTTATTGAAACCTTAAAATACAGGTACAAAAACTTGTAGATACGCGATATCACATGTAACAATCAGATACGATGTATCACAAAACCGTAAATTGGAGGGAAAATAAGCGTCTTATCACAATATTGGTTATGATCAAAATTACGCGCAAAGAGATTCTAAAAATGTTAATATCAAAAAGTCATTTTCGTAAAATTTGTAGATACGAGGTATTGTCACTAAGGTAACGATATCCTATGTGTTATAATTTCATTTTGTAGTTGTTATCTGAATCATAACAATATTTGTTTGTTTTTTTTTTTTTTTTTTTTTTTTATTTTTATTTTTATTAGCTATTAGTTTACAACTATGACAGCTCGACTATTACAGAAATATTTGTTTTAACATCTAAAAGAGTTAAAAACTCATGATCTTAATTTATTAAGATGATAATAATAATAATATTCAATACCAATGGACCAGATACCTAGATTCATTCTTATAAAAAAAAAGACTAATTTATGTTTAGTCCAAATTTTATTTTATTCAAAATTTTCAACCCTAAATTTAATATCTATATTTCCAAATGTTATAAATTACTCAATCCATGGCAATATTTTATAATGAATAAATTTGTTTTTAATTACTGCAATATTATATGAATAATGTTTAAACTATACTTTTCTGTTACCAAACTATGACAGCTGACATCTAGAAGTATCAATAACCTATATTACATTATCATACTCGGCACTCTTAATGCATTGTTTAGACAACTGATAAATAAACTTAATAGTATAAATACAAAAAAAAAGTAATATAAAAATGTAAAACTAAGTTTTCTAACACATAAATTATATTTTTCAGTTTTTATATTTTATTTGATTGCTTATAAGTAGCCTACTAAACTTTAGACACAAAATATTTAATCGTAGCCAACTTTAAGTTGATTTCTTGACCATATAAGTTATAAAGGATACCATAGTGATTTTTCAAAAATTCCATTACATTTTTTTTTTTATCAGGATTAAAACAGAACATAACTCATCATAGTTAAAAAGAATCATTTTATAACATTGATGATTTATAAAGTAAAGAATAATAATACTTTAGTACTTTAATTTTGTGGTAGAATCTGGATACTGTCAAAAACAGTCATACACAGTATTTATACAATAATTTTGTCCATCCAGTTAATAAAACACTAAATACATTAAAAGCTCACACTGTATGAGTATATAAAATATTATTAATACTTAAAAATACTCAAAACTCACCAAAAAATTAAAACAATAAAATACAAATACAGTTTTGACCTTAAACTTTAAGACAATTCACTCCAATATTTACGCAAACCACTTGAAATTAGAAATACTGAAAATACGTTTTTGATATGTCAAGCATTAGTACAACATCCTTTGAACAGATTCAAGTTAGATTCTTTTATAATATAGTATAATAACAGTGCAGAATATGATAATGGAATAATAACTTATTCTATGCTATATTATTTTCTTTATTGCACTTAAATAAATCTTTATTTTATTTTAAAATATTAATATCTAATAGAAATTTATTTCAATACAGTTGTAATTAAAATTTTGATTCTGTCTAATGTCTACTATAAATTTGTAGATGATACTATTAATACTTGAGTTTGCTCAACAAAATAAATAAATGAAATGTCTTAGCTAACATTATTAATGCAAACTGAATTAAAGTTATGTGATGCCACAATACCAAAGATAAAAATAATCTTTTAAATTGTATCTACCCTTACCACACAACATTAACTTAATATACTTACATGATTAATATATGGTTACAATTAAATGATTATAAATTTGATATTATTGAGAAAAACCATTGAGTTATAATAAATAGAAAATTTTATCGAGAGCATTCAATTATAATTTCTAAGTATTGCATAAGAATATTAAGAGCAGAGTCAAGAACTTATAATGAACATTAATATATGGACTGGACACAGTAATATTGGTATGCATCACATTCATTAAAGCATCGGAAAATGTATAAATGGTATATCTTTACTATTTGAAATGCTTGAATTAGAAAACAATCAAAAAAAGGATTCAAGTGTAAAAAAAATATGTATACCTAATTATTTAAATTACTCATTGATTTGAATATAGTTGGAAAGGATATATATAAATATTTTTTTTTGTAGAAAACAGATGCAGTCACCCCTCAATTCAAGCATTAACTTAATATTTTATATTCAAAATGTATTAACAATGTGAGTGCCATGAGTTTTCTTTGAAATTACCAAACATCAACTTTCTGCTGCCAATATTGTCAAAAATATTTAATAAAAAGATAGGGTGTTATTTTATTTTTTTGTTTCTTTGTAGATTTCAATTAGTTCTACACTATAGCGAGGTCGAATGTGTACAACAAACTGTTTTTCTTAGATGGTATATGATGGCATAGACTTAATAGTTAATTATGTGACATAATCATATAACATTATTGTTACAATAGTATTTACTGACTAAACTAAATGATTCTTTTGGAAAATTTTTTTTTTTTTGCAGATTTTAGAAAAATGTACATTATTTTTTTTGTAATTTTATGCTTTTCTCTTGTTAAGTGTCATTATTAAATTAATAATCCACTGCAGAATACTATTGGGAGTATTTTACGAAATAAAAATTAAATATTAAATAGATATAAACAAAATAAGTTAAAATAAAGGAATAATATTGTTGGAGAAAGTACCTTTGTATACTACCTACTCCACTCTGTTAACAAAATTGTAAACACTACATAAAGGGATATAATTAAAGTTATTGCTTATTTAGGAACGTACACCTATAAAATATGAATAGGTTTTAATGTATTTTATAGTCTTTACTTATCCGTATACATACTTAAATTATTTCTACAACCCAAAATATTAAGTATAGTATTTTAGCATGAATAATACAATTTTCAACACATTGGATAGTTTAAATGCATAAGTGCATGCATTTTTAAAAAGTTTTAACGTCATCATCTTAACCTTACTTATAATCAGAGTAAGGGACTTAATTCATTAGCATATTTGTTCGAGAAATAGAAAAAATATGATACGATACATATTTGTATTTTAAAATAAGGATTTTAAATCCAAAATGTTTTATTGCATATTCTATAAATTTATTTATTTTTTAATTTGATTTATAAGAAAAATAAAAAATATTATTTAATGTAAAATTTTCCTTTTTGTCACGTTGTAACAATTTTTATATAGAAAATACATTGTTCATTCCTAATTTATATTTTTATCTTATGATATAGCTGACAATAATGCCGATAAGGCAATAATCAATAGCATGCTACACATTTCATTCGGGGAACCCATTTTATTTTTAGCTCTAAAGACAATATTATTTTTATTATTTTAATTAAAAATAAACACATATTTAAATACTTTTTATACATAAATATCCACATATTTTTATTATCTTAATTACATATAGTCTGAGCCTTGTTTATAAAAATAAACCACTAAAAATTTATAAACTTAAAAACAGTCAAGGTATCAATTGTCTTGTTTATTGGAAAAAACACTAATACACTCACACTTTAAGTAAAAACTATACCCAAAAATGTTAATTATTTAAATAGTTAAATTTGACGATATAAAAATCAAAATGAAAATACAAAAGTATAAATCAAATTTCCATAAAATATTATTCAGCGCTTATAAGTTATTTAAAGTAACTTTAAAATATATTTAATCAGATCCCACGAGTAGGTATATAATATATATATATATATATATTTATAGTTAAATAAGCTTGTATAATGAAATTAACTTACCTTTCAGACCCTGATGATGATGATGAACCAGAATTAAGTTCATTATTATGATCTGAGTCTGACGATTCTTCTTCCGACACATTCTGCAATTTAAATCCCATACTATTATGGTATTGGCTACCAAGTCATCAAATTACAAGTCTGTTCATCATTGTTCATATTAAATAGTTAAAAATTTGGATTTTTCTTGTCAATTTATGATTTTTAATTTTATCAAAATCATAATTCTATATGCATATTATATTTCAACTCAATAAGCATTCAAGCATTGTAAGCATTGAATCAAACCTAACCATAATAAGCTTGCAATAGCTCATATTTTCATTTGTTTACTTTTTTGCAATAGTTGATTATTATTATTAAATAGTTTTATGCAAGTTGTATAAACCACTAAGCGTTGAATGAATTAATACTGAGGCAATATGTCCTTATAAACATGATTGTTACCCATGGAACATATTTGGTCCATTAAATTATATTTAACCATTAAAATAACCAATTTTTCATGCCCACCAGTCTGGCATTAGTAAATCAATATCCTAAATTACATTAATTAGTTTTCTATATATTCAATTATTTAAAAATTTGAAGAATAAATGTTAAATATTACTTGATATTTATAAAATAAATCAAAACTAAGTTATGTTCATATTTTTTTTTTTTTTTTTAATTGGTATATATATGTAAATTTCACGTTAACTTAGCTTATCATATGAAACAAATAATTTATAAATATATCATGTGGCTTAAAATTAAATACCAGGAGTTTATTCAAAATAAAAGAATATATTTATAAAATATGTATTTCACAGAATCTGTAACTTAAATTCATAACTACTTGAATATTATTTTATGATGTAGAAGTGCAATAAAAAAGGATTTAGTAAAATTCTCATTTTAAAGAAGAACTCATCACGTGGGGATTTTTTGGACTCATTTGGAAGCGATTATTTTTAAATTTAAAAAAAGTTGCTATTAATGACAACTGTCTAATAATGATTGATATAAACTTTATCATGAAAATATTAAAATAAGATATTGTACCAGTTTGTTGTAATAGTTTAAATATTTAACAATTTAGAAGAGATTTGTTGTTTATCAAATTAAATTTAAGTGAGTTTTGATACCACCATTTTATAATAATGTTACAATGCCAAGCTAAAACAAAACAATTTTCTTGAATAGAATTCAGAAACAACTATTTTTAGATGATAAAATTAATAATAATAGAAATAAAATGATCAAAAGCAACTTCTACCTACAATATTTTTGACACTAAAATTAAAAGCAATTTTGGAAAAATAAAATACTTACCATCATGAAAATCTGGAATATATGGTTTATGTACTATTAATAACCAATTCAATCACTTTCACTCATTGGAGAAAAAAATGAACAAAATCTAACAACTATAATCCATCAATAGAAAAATAAGCTGAACTGTTATATACATCAAAAAACAAATAACAAAACATTATCATGGATACTATGTAATAAAAATGTTGTATTTATATGGCCTAATTCTTAATTAAAATATATATTAGCCATTAAATACTAAATTTATTGAATAATAACTAGCCCCTATCCCTGTTTAGTTTTATGAAAAATATGATATATATATTATATACCATTTAAAAATTGAATGCAAATAAAATATGACATTCATCGTACAATTACTATGTTAAATAACACTAAGCAAAAACATTGAATATTATTAAAATATTGTTCAACAATATAATGAAAAGAAATGATAAAAATGAAGGATACATAATATTAATATTAATTCAAAGTATATAGTCATTAATGTATGGTAAAAAGTGTATAAGAGTACTGTAATTATATTTCCAAGGCATCCAATTCAGATAATTAATTTATAAATTTATAAATTACACAAAATCAGAATAGTTTCACAGTTAACTAAAATAATATTAAAATATTATTGAAATATAGGTGTGTACAATTAGTATTGACTTTATTTAAAATAAATATGTACTTAAATTACAATATATATAATAATTAGAAAGTATTAAAATTAATTTATTAGAAAATACTAAATAATTAAATATTAATTATCATTATAGACAAATGGACAATTGTAAAACATAATTAATTAAATCTATCACTTGCCATATTATACACATTTACTCAAAATAAACACTAAGTATATTAATATACTTTAATTTTAACATAACAATCAAAATAAAATTTTTAAAAAAACCACATGCCCACCTTAAATATATTTATAAGTCAACTCCAAGATTAAAACTGAGTACACCTATTATGAAATATAATATTATTAAATGAGATATTACAATGTTGACCATTTTCTATGTGCACATCCTAACTTTAACTTAAAATTTTGAAAATGGGTCCGATTTAAATTTCTATGTTTCATACATCTTACACTTGGTTAACTTGTGGACAATTCATAATTAAGTAGAATTTAGCTGTCCAACCATCATAACTACCCTCATGATACATTTAAGAATTGAAGGGTGCTTTGTTGAACATCAACAATAAATAAAATTGCTTTAATGAAAACATGTTTAAATGGTTATGACGTTTAGACGCTTAAACCCACTTTCCCAAAACTATACTGGAACAATAAAATAGTTACTTCAGAAACTAAAAATATTTTACATAAAGTATAAATAATTAAAGGGTAGTTGGGTAGTAGAAAAAGTACCATAAGTATTATATTTATTTCATGACAAAGGACACTAATGATTTGAACAATGATGAACTCGATAAGCAAAGAACTAACAATATTAAGCTAAAGGGTAGTATTTGACATTAAGTATATTATTTTAAAAGATCAAAGTGAATAGTGAACACATAGGACTGCTTCTTACCTGATGCATTTTGGGTGGTTAAACCAATCTTGTGAATTTTAAGGCCAGTTCAGAGTGTAAAAACGGAGAGGACAAACCACATAAGGGTTGCAAACCAATAAAAACTGTAAAAACCGTTTGTTTGAAAAAGGAAAAATTACGAGAAAATAAACTTCGATTCACCTAAATACAGCCAATATTGGGCAGTCAAGGTGAGGAGGTGAAGTGGCACGGCCAGTATCGTGAGCGTTTCGTGTATGGGCACGATTATCAAGAGTTTTTAACGAAAAAATCGACAACATTCGATAATTAAGTAGACATTTAAATTAAATTCCGATAAATGAAAATAAAACAGACACCGATATGTTTAGGTACGAACGTGTACGAGTGTGCGGAAAACGGTACGAGACAAACAATCAGCGGCCATTTTGTGTGCAGTGATATTACACCGAGTGGTAGTGGTACCCCCGCGCGCCGCCTGCCATCCCACACAAACCACCACACCGCACTGTACAGGAATAGAGGATGACGTCGACAACACCGAATGCTTGGAAATGAAAATTAACTTCAAAACAAAATAGCTGTAATATTTTTTAAATCGAAAATATTGTTGTCCATTATATACTAGATGCTTACATTAAACTTTTTCAATAAGTGAATAAAATATTATTAAGAATGAGTAAATTTAGTAGTGTGGGTTATCCATCACTGTAAATAGTTTTTTTACGCCATGAAATTCGGTATAATGGTACGGTTACGATTAACTTGATTTATATTTTTGCGCAACATAATACAGCTAGACGATCTTTCCCCTCTTAAAAAGTTATAATACTTATAAATTTATAACAAAACAATTGAAAACCAAATTAATAAAACCCATTTTTTTTTTTTTAATACGATAACAATTTGATGAAAACAAACAAAAATTTTAAAATAACAAATTATTTTAATATTTATCAATATTAAAAAGTATTCAGTAGGAAAAACATTACATTAAAACGTAAAAACATTACTTTATTTAAAAGCAAATTAAAAAAAAAGGGGGAATAATACGAAACATTATTTTTAAATGTAATATAGTAAAAAAGTGTACAAAACACATTTAACTATTAAATTAGTATGAAAAAAATTAAGAATTATTAAAGTAATAAATAAAAATGATTTTACTTTTAAAATACAAATTTTTATGAAAAAAAAATGTTTTAAGTGCAATATACTAAGCCAATGAGTATTTTACTCAAAACTAAAAAAAAATATTTTAGAACAGTCAATAATAAACAATTATATAAAATAATTTTAAAAATTGATAACATTTATTTAATGTTGATATTTTTTTACATTATTTTTATGATCACAAAATATACATAACTATTTGCAAACTTACTTACAATATGTCATAATTACAACTTTCGTTGTTTTCTTGATCTTAATGGATTCCATGAAATTGGAGTATCATCTGTCACAGATATGATTTTGAGGCCACCCATGGTTAAACCTTTTATTGAGGACTAAAATAGAAATAATTTTTTATAAATTTAACATATTTACTAAATAAATAAAAAAAAAAATACCACATATTGTATAAGTATAAACATTTTTTTTTACCATTCTCCCAGGTCCTAATCCTTGAATTGTTACACGAACTGTATGAATTCCAAAATCTAATACTCTCTGAAAAAAAAACAAATTGTTCTAATTCAAATGCAATATTTAATCAAAAAATGAAGACTTCATCATTAAATTATTAAAGTATAGTTTGAAAATAATAATATGACTAAATGAATAAAATCATTTAATATAAAAACTTCCTTTAAAGCACAAGTAAAATCAGTAAATGCCATAAAAATAAATTTATTTTTCTACTTGTGTAGCCAACAAGTAGAAGTGTATTAACATAAGAGTACAAGAATTTGTTTAAGTTTGAGTCATATAGTACAATACAATAAATATTTTATGCAAGCATTTTAGATGTAATTAACTATTTCAAAACAGTTATGTATGATCACTATAATTTAAATAAATGGATCAATTTATATTTAAAAGCTGTGGCAAATATACATTAAAGAACCCCCTCCTCTCTTCACATATATACTTGAATTAATTTTAGTACTCTATAATAATTTCTTAATTTTTTTTTTTTTTTTTATTTAATTTGATAAAATTTCAAAATATTATTAATCTAGAACCTCCTAATATAAAATATAACTTGATAAATGCAATAAAATGTATTACTATAGTTTATTAACTTGTTTTGAGCTGATGTTAATTGAGATCGATGAAAAAATAATGTATAGGATGTTGACATCTGCCGTTTGATACAAATACAAATTATATACGTCAGCACTCAGAGTTAAGAATAACTAATGTTTAAAAAATAAGTTTTTTAAATTTAAAAAGTTAATTTACTTAGTATAGTAATTTTAGTAAAATTTTAATCATTCTATTAAAACAGAAAATGTTAAAAAAAAAAATTTCTAGATAAACTTTAATTGAGTTAACCATGTTTTGGGTGATATCTACATTGAATAAAAACTGATATTACAAACTATAAAACTAATTCATTAGCTTCACTTCATTGATCTAGATACAGGTGCCAATACTTAATCTATAGAATCTACATGGAAACACGTCTAAGTAAAATACAACATAAAAACATGCAGTGCCAATTTTAAAGGAACTGTAGTTGATGGAAAAATGGTAGCACTCACTCAATGCGCTCAAGAACCTTTAAGAACATTTTTTTGAAAACATGGAAAAAGTTCTTTAATGTAATAATACCCAGATAGTATAAAACACCTCTAAAATCTACATATTACGAGGTGGAAGATTATAAACATACGTAAGTTCCAAAATAATTGTTAGTATATTTAAAGAAAATAATAAATATTTACTGTGGCCAAACCAATTGCTGTAGCTTGAGCTGCAATATTAGTTCCTTTTCTAGTATTTTTAAATCCTTCCATACCACAAGATCTGATCATTATCCTTTCACCTAAAAAAAATATCAATTTTTGTTTAACATACACCTAATTAATTAAATGTATTTTCAAGTTTTGTATAAGTAACAAAAGAGGTATAAATGCAGGTATATAAGGTTTTCTTAATTTAAAACTATATTTGATCAATTGGATAAATTTAATACTAATTATTAAATTTGTTAGAAATCGTTATGTATGTTCTGTCTATTAAGAGCACAACAGTGTACAGACACCAGAAATAGTTGTTTTTTTAAAAGGAACTCAAAACATAATATTAGTGATCTAACCAATCAGAGAACAATCTTAATATTTCTACAGTTGTATGCACATTGTACAAGATATTCTCTTTTTGGATAGACACAAAGCATAGTAAAATTATTCTAGCAAAAATGAGTCCCTTCATTTTTAACTCTTTCAACTAATCACAAGAATTTAAAAGATTGAATAAATGCTTATATTAAAAATATTAATTAATTACATATCTTTTTATTAGATACTTTGATTTAGTAAAACTTTATCAGTTCATAATTTGGATTTTAAAAAGTCAATGAATACATTGAGTTTACAACATTTTATTTTGACTGTTAATTGTTGACTGTAAAGATGTACTATTATTGAAGCTTTGGACTCGAAATAATAAAATCAAATGTTTACATAAATTGTCAAAATGAAGTTGGATAGTTACTGAATAATGGTATTGATAGAATTTATAATAGTGTAGATAACAATTTACATTTAAGCTCAAGTATTGAGTATTTTGATAGAATGTGATGGTATTATTTTATATTAAAGTTTTAGTAACAATTTAACAGATTTACTTCAACTGTTGATGTTATTTAAAAAATACATTAAATAAGACTTTTTGTACCAAATATTAATACATATTACATACACTTACTAATGTATTTACTGGAATTAAAAATATTCACATGTTATTCAGTTATATTAGAATAATTAATGAAACAAGCTGTAAAGCTATAATTTATATTATAAGTATTAAATTCTTTTTAAATTTAAATTTTCAAAATATTTACTCATTTAATTTTTTTTTGATTCATTTTTAATAAAGAACAGATCAACAAATCATTTTAATCATAGAAAAAATTTACTGTTAGCAATATAAATAAATGATAAAATATCTTAAGAAATATAGATAGTCCAAATCAAAATCATTGATCATTGGATTTGATTTTAGCACAGCTAAAATATCTACTTAATGAAGTATACTCGGCATATAAAATACAGCACATCAGCTTCCTCGCATAATTTTTTGTCCAATATAATTCAAATTCAAAGATTGTTTATTAGCCAGTGAATAAAGTAGATACGTAATTCAATTTAATGATCTCAATTACCTATATTTACCATAATAAATATTCAAAAAATATAAATTTAATCAAATAAAATCAAATTTAATAATCACAAACCTGAAAACCATAGTAGATTTTTTTTTTATAATATATACATCTATCACTAATAATTTGTTTAAAAAAACATATTACATAATATGTTATAGGTACCTATACTATGCTTAGTGCTTATTCTAAGTGACTAAAGAAAAGAAAATGTTTCAAAAACATTACAACTTACCATTAGCTTTAGTGACATGAAGTATTGTATTGTTCCTAGATGATTTAATGTGACAAATAGGAACATCTGAGAATTTTACTCCGCCAAAAAGCATATTAGGCGTGTTAATATCAGGAAACATATCTTCTTTCCTCAAAAAAATAAAACTTCAAAGTTAGTAAAGATTCACTAGCCAATAATAAAATATCCATCTTTGTAGTTCACACACAACGAAATGACCAACAAAATGGCGTCCACGTATAATGAAGTACGAAAATATATGCGTATCATTCAACATCGAGTAAACGAATCGATTGAAAAACTCACTTGGTGATTGCGGAATCGATGAAAACAAATTTCTCGCCTTCGGTACCTTCGTCTTTACGAGGAACCGAGGCCAAGAAACTCCGACGGTCCCTATTCTTTTCCAATGGCACCGCTACGTGTATCAAACGGTTTACATTTTCTCTGCCCGAGACGGCGGCCGTTCGTCGAAAAAAGTCTCGTAAGACGCGTACAAACATCGTTTAAACAAATTTATAAGTATGTTCGTCAGAAATTCAATTTTCGTAATTAATCGTAGTATGTTTAAGACAATGGTGTATAACTATAAATCCATGTACACGTTAATCGTCCAGTCACACAACGACCAACAAAATCGTTCACACAAACGGCAAAATGGCGAATGACCTAATATGATATTAACCGTAGTGAAAGAGTCAAACAGCGACGTAGAAGTAGAAGTAGAATACGCCGCAGTCGTCGTCGTCTTTCTCCGTTCTTACCGTCACCGTTTCCATTGCGGCGTGGCCAACAATCGCGATCATAAATAAACACCATACATATTACGGAATAACTTTCAACACTGTAAAGCCAAACCATGTTAACCAACATGATAATTATTTCACAGCGACGTAGGGCTGTTGTTGAGTGTTGTACTGTTGTATAGTCGTTATTCGTTATAGGCGTTGTAGCGTTAATGCAAGTTTTTGACAGTGGTAAATAATAATTACTGGTAAACAATAAACATCTGCGATAGAAAAAAATAAAACAAACTAACAGAACAGAGCAATAAATGTCTTAATCATGTAATAATTGCCTAAAAGTTAAACTGAACCACTAAATCATGTAGTATATACGGTAGGTTATACAATGTGATTATTTAACTATTAACACTCATTATTTTAAAATCTATTAACTTTTTAAAAATATTATTCTTATATAATTTACTCTTGAAATAAAATAACATTTTTTCTAAGTGTTTTACTTTTTAGAATGATAATATACCTACACTTTTAATTATAAGTTCTACAGCAAAATATTTTTTGGAATATTTCAATG